TTTGACCCCAGGGCTATAATTTGAACAATCTTGGTAGACTGGTTCACTACACAATGTTTTATGCAAAATATCTAACCTCTAGCCTTTGTCAATTTTGAGAAGATGATTTTTTAAGTTTTTACTATATACATAAAAGGAAAACTTATAACCCCCGGGGCGGGGCTAATTTTGACACTAGAGGCAAAATTTGAACAACTTGGTAGAGTACCTATAGATGATATGATATACCAAATATCAAAGCTCTAAGCCTTGTACCTTCAGACAAGAAGGTTTTTAAGTTTTTACTATATGTACATATAGTGAAAATCAATGACCCCCGGGGCTGGGCCAATTTTGACCCCAGGGCTATTATTTGAAGAATCTTGGTAAAGGCCTACCAGACAATGCCTTATGCAAAATATCCACACGAAAATATCTAGGTGCACAACTACACATGCTGAGTAACATTCCTGTAAGGTTTCATGACTCTAGGTCAAATACTTTTTTAGTTATATGTGACACAAGTTGAAAATTGGAAATTTTTACTCATTCAAGGGCAATAACTCTAACAAGAGCTGTCGGTAGGACAGCAACGCTCGACTATTCTTAGTGCTTGATAGTAAAAAAAATGCTTGATACAGTTACCTCCTCCTGTTTACAGGTTGGGGTCATGATGGTGAACAAGTGTGCGAAGTTTCAAAGCCATAATGTCAATGGACTTTGAAAATATTTGAACTATTACAAAAACTTTAACGTAAATTCTAAGTCGAAAAAGGGGCATAATTCTGTCAAAATGCTTGATAGAGTTACCTCCTCCTGTCTACAGGTTGGGGTCATGATGGTGAACAAGTGTGCAAAGTTTCAAAGCCATATGTCAATGGACTTTGAAAATATTTGAACTATTACAAAAACTTTAACATAAGTGGTTACGCCGACTCGGACGCCGACGCCGACGCTCGGGTGACTGCAATAGCTCTACTTATTCTTATCGAATAGTCGAGCTAAAAATACTAAATATATCCACACAAAAATACCCAGGTGCACAACTAAACATGCTGATCAACATTCCTGTAAGGTTTCATGACTCTAGGTCAAATATTTTTTGAGTTACGTCCAACACAAGTTGAAAATTGCAAATTTTTACTAAGTCAGGGGCAATAACTCTAAAAATATTTAATATATCCACACAAAAATACCCAGGTGCATAACAACACATGTTGATCAACATTCCAGTAAGGTTTTATGACTCTAGGTCAAATATTTTTTTAGTTATGTCCGACACAAGTTGAAAATTGCAAATTTTTACTAAGTCAAGGGCAATAACTCTAAAAATACTAAATATATCCACATGAAAATACCCAGGTGCACAACTCCACATGCTGATCCACATTTCTGTAAGGTTTCATGACTCTAGGTCAATTACTTTTTGAGCTACGTGCGACACAAAAAGGGAACTGACGGACAGACGGACGGATGGACGGATTAACAAGGGTAAATCTAAATGCCGCCCCCCTATAGTGGGGGCACAAAAATTCAGTGATAAGTGATAATGAAATTTAATATACAATGTAGTTATAACTTTTTAAAAGTCCTATAATTTTGCCATTTTATGGATTTAATATTACTAAGCTTCCTATATTTTTCATCATGTCTTAAAAAATTGATGTTCAATGTTGACCTAATGTTTCAACTTGTTCAGATAATTCCGAACTTCTGAGTTCCTGAAACTTCCAAATTCTGAACTTTATATAATATTATATATATTTAATGGTACATATATATATATAAATTTATTTATTTCTGGAAAGGATTCATACTTTGACAAAACCAGTGTGACAAGACAGACCTATTAAAGTTATAAAAAGGAAGATTTGTTCAAACGTTTCTTTGTTTGCTTTTAGAAAAAGTAAAAAGTCAAGCGTTGCCCCCCCCCCCCCCTCTTGTTATAAACAAAAGATAAGGATGCATTCAGTAAGAACTTTATATTGTTAAAGCTCAGGTATGTTGTAAAAGGCGCACAATGGCCCCTTTTATTTCTGGGAAGCTGCAATCTTAGGGATACACCACTAGGTATATAGACAATATAAACATCTCAATCTTATGTAACCTAGATATTCAAGTAATGTGAAAGTATAACTGCTGAAGTTTTTTCAAAACTTGCCAAAAATTAATAAAACAGTTCTTAAAATAGTTTCCATTTTATTTTGGAAGTTTTATTTGTGTAACTTGTGAAGTAAGATTTGATACAGATTTGCGCTTGATATGACATTGTTTAAATGACAAATTATGCTTTAAAAATGCTTACACACACTAAACAGACGTTTTATTTCAGACTTGTACATTGTACATCCCCATGCAAATAAATAAACACAAGAGTCAGTTTGAACCAGGTGATGCTCCCCATATAGGTTTTGGACATAAATAAATACACCTCTTGTAGTTTCAGAGTTATGTCCCAGACAAAGTTCAAAGTGCAATAATTCCAAAATTTGGCAAGGCAGAGTGACTATTCTTTGCACTGCACTTCTACTTAATGAGATCTATCTACCGACTCAAGTTTTTATTGATACATCTTGTAGTTTCACAGTAATGTTTCATACAAAGTTCAAAATGTAAAATTGAACTAGAAATGTGTCATCATGCCACGGATGCCCCGCATGCAGCCAAAATTTCAGATGTTATAATAAATTATTAAGTTCCAATTTATTTTGAACAAATTATTGTTTTCATTTTAAGTTTTAAAGCCCTTAAAACTTTTCAATGTTAACACAAACCATTTTCATACAATGTTCAAGGCACTGAAATTATTCAGTCTCAACCTTTTGAAAATAGCATATTTCATATTTGTAGCCAAAATAATGGCTACATACATTTCAACAAAAGTATGAGTGCTGAAACTGAAAGTTCAAAATTTTTCCAACATTCAAGAAAGATAAGTTTGTCCAAAATCATTGAAGCACGACCAAATTCAAACTTAAACTGCTTATTCCTAAGATGTATCTATATTATTTTCAAAGTGAAAGGGACATAACTCGAAAAATCATCGAACCATGACCAAATTCCAACTTGACCTGCCCATTCCTTGACATATCCATATGTCAAATTTGAGTTGAATATGTAACACTGTTAGGTAGATAATGAACAGAAACTGTAAATTTCATATTATTCATAAGTGTTAGGGGCCTTACTCTGCCAAAAATCATTGAACCATGACCAAATTCGAACTTGGCCTGGGCATTACAAAAACATATCCATATGTGAAATTTGAGTTGAATGTGTTGTACTGTTGGGGAGATAATAAACAGAAACTGAAAATTTCATATTATTTTCAAAGTGAAAGGGGCATAACTCTGCCAAAAATTATTGAACCATGACCAAATTTGGACTTGACCTGCACATTCCTTTGACGTATCCATATGTCAAGTTTGAGTTGAATGTGTTGTACCGTTGGGGAGATAATGAACAGAAACTGTAAATTTCATATTATTTTCAAAGTGAAAGGGGCATTACTCTGCCAAAAATCATTGAACCATGACCAAATTCAAACTTGGCCTGGGCATTCCAAAAACATATCCATATGTTAAATTTGAGTTGAATGTGTTGTACTGTTGGGGAGATAATAAACAGAAACTGAAAATTTCATATAATTTTCAAAGTAAAAGGGGCATAACTCTGCCAAAAATCATCGAACCATGACCAAATTCCAACTTGACCTGTATTTTCTCATGACATATCCATATGTCAAATTTGAGTTGAATGTGTTGTACCGTTGGGGAGATAATGAACGGAAACTAAAAATTTCATATTATTTTCAAAGTAAAAGGGGCATAACTCTGCCAAAAATCATCGAACCATCACCAAATTCGAACTTGACCTGTATTTTCTCATGACATATCCATATGTCAAGTTTGAGTTGAATGTGTTGTACCGTTGGGGAGATAATGAACGGAAACTGAAAATTTCATATTATTTTCAAAGTGAAAGGGGCATAACTCTGCCAAAAATCATCAAACCATGACCAAATTCGAACTTGACCTGTATTTTCTCATGACATATCCATATGTCAAATTTGAGTTGAATGTGTTGTACCGTTGGGGAGATAATGAACGGAAACTGAAAATTTTATATTATTTTCAAAGTAAAAGGGCCATAACTCTGCCAAAAATCATCGAACCATGACCAAATTCGAACTTGACCTGTATTTTCTCATGACATATCCACATGTCAAATTTGAGTTGAATGTGTGCAACCGTTACTAAGATAATGAACGGAAACTGATGATGACGGAATGACGGAAGGAAGGAATGACGGAACAGGGTAACACTATATGCCCCCGCCATGTACTATATGCCCCGGCCATTACATGGCGGGGGCATAAAAAGGTCAATAACTCCAAAAATAAGCAAGGCAGAGTTACGGTTCTTTAGCACTGCATATCTAAGCAATGAGATGTATCTACCTACAAATTTTCTTGTTGATACCTCTTAATTATAGTTATGTCCAGGACAAAGTCCAAATTGAAAAAATGAACAAATGGCAATTACTCCAAAAATTAGGCAAGGCAGAGTTACTGTTCTTTTTCACTGCTCATCTACCCAATGAGATCTATCTACATGTACCTACAAAGTGTCTTGTTCATATCTCTTATAGTGTCAGCATTATGTCCTGGACAAAGTTCAAAATGTAAAAATGAACAAAGGGCAATAACTCCAAAATTAGTCAAGGCAGAGTTATGGTTCTTTTGCACTGCACATCTACCACATTAGATCTATCTACCTACAAAGTGTCTTGTTCATATCTCTTTTGCTTTCAGAGCTATGTCCTGGACAATGTTCAAAGTGTAAAAATAAACAAAGGGCAATAACTCCAAAATTAAGGAAGGTAGAGTTCTTTTGCAATGGAGATGTCCTTTATTGTGAAATCTTCCATTGTCAGAAATTCAAAGTTTTGATATCAAAACTGACAATATATAGATCCACTTATAAAATAACATTCACACTTTAAGTATAATATACATTTACCTTTGGTTGGTACATATGTCCTGCATGATTTTGCTGTGTTGTTTTACTGAGTTTTTGGGCTGCAATTGGTTGTTTGATACCCATTGCGTCAGGGGGCAAACTCACTTTTTGAGCCTGTGCATTCACAGCTGCAGTGTATTCCTGTGCCTTTGGCGATGTTAAAATCCTTTTGATAGCTATTGCCTGAGCATCGTAAGATGGTATACGAACAGTTCCTGGTTTTCGGACTTGATTGTCTAATTTCTTGCTCATTTTTCTGAAGTTTTCCTGAGCTTTCACGGGTCCCCGAATACCAATGGCACTCTGGCCGTATTTAGCCGCGCCTACTCGCGGATAATGATTCGAACAATAAAGATCCCTGTCATTAGGGTCTACCTGACTAGTAAAATAATTTTTCATTGTCAAATGCTGGTCGCAGACAACACATTTAAAACAATGTTTGTGGTACATGACCTCGTGGACGGGTCCCATTCTTTCAGCATGATAGACTGCATCCTTGCATCTATAACATTTATGGGCGTCCAGAACAGGCGGATGAAAAATAGACGAGAGCCGACGGAAGCCCCTTTCAATCGAATCCGTCTCGGCCATAGTTGCCATATTTTATACACTCTCGAGTTTGTAACTTCTTTTGCCTATAAGTTGCCTGAAATGTAACAAAAATCCTACTTAACTTAAAATGAACATCTACGTTAGAACAAGTAAAATGCATTTACAATTTGTAAATGTGTTCCAAAGACTAAGTTTTAACTTCCTTACAAGTAAGAATTAGCATGTTGTCATGATTTAAACATTTCTCAAATGCTAAGACTGGTTTATTCACATGAATACAAAACCTTTTAAAAATACAAATATTGATGAAATGAAGAAATTAAACAGTTGGCAAACCAATTTAAAGTTGTAGTTTATTGGTGGTAATGTATATCTATTAATTTAAATTTTGAATGTAGCAACCTATGCAATACTTATTTCATAAGTGATGAAATATATACATGTATCATATTTATTGAGTGAAACCGTACGCAATGATTCAGTTCTCATACAAGTTTACATACATACATACATACGAGTATATGTGCATAGTTTTACGAACTGCGTTTCTTAGGGGATGGATTTTTATTTTGTTTACAGTCTGTAGAAAAACACATAGACAGTATAAGTCAAAATATCCTTTATTTTAGACAGTCCAAGAAATTATATTTACAAATACAATGTATAATAAGAAATATTCTTAATTAAGAGTTCTCAATAAATGTATGTCAATATATAAAATTCTTAGACAATTTATTTCAAAATAATAACAATAATTAATTAAAATTAAGTTGGGGAAATAATTACTCACTTAGCATTATGAGTTTAACATTTTGATAATTAAAATAGGTAACAGGTACCACATCAACAAAATGTAAATAATAAAATACTTAAATTAACATTACAAAATCAATATTCAATGTAATAAGAACTTAGTTTCATGTATTCAAATAATATATAATATATGAAAAACATGTAATAAGTACAATATAAAGTTACATTTTAACAAGTCAGTAACTAAAGTAAGTTTACAAAATTTCATTTCCTACAGATTTTAGAAAAAGAGTTAAAATATAAAATAAAGTTTAACATTACCCGGGTGTAAAAAGTCCATGCTTTTCCAGGGATTTCCATGGAAAATAAGAGGCTGGAGTATTGGAACAAAATGTTCCAGCCTTTTCCAGCCTGAAGCTGAGAAAAAATGGGCTGGAAAAACAGGGAAAAAACATGGAACATTTTCCATGCTGCATGGAACATTTTCCATGTTTTCCATGGAAAAGCATGGACTTTATTCCATGCTTTTCCATGTACATGGAGTATTGGAACAAAAGTATGGATTTTTTTCCAGGGTATTCCATGTGTCTGCCAACCATAGAGGCTGGACTTTTTACCATGGTAAATAGTCCAGCCTTGATGGAATAACATGGAAAAAAAATCCAGCCTAATTCCAGCATCCCTGAATGTTCTTAAAATTTAAAATTCTCTGAAGAAATTCAGCACAGGAATGTTTGGGGTGGAATTTTTATTAGTTTAACATGATCACATATTTCTTTCACAAAATTTAATACATATCCTTTAGTCCAAATACAGAATAGAACATCCTACATTCACTATAGCACAAACAGTTATTTTTCTAGCTGCAGGTTTGATAGCTAGGTTCTGGTTGTCTTATAAATTTTAGCAATTATTTTGCTCTTAATCTGTCAATGATAAACTGTTTTTAATTCTTAGATTTGTTTCAAGTGTTTCTGATTATTTAAATTACTATTTCTTATATTGATGTCCATTTTTCAGTCCTCTACCTATGTTTCCTAGAACTTCTTGTGGTTGTGCTCACCTTTAAAGATAAAATTCATAACAAATTTAACACAGATGTGGTAATGACTTATGTTTTATTGCATATAAATATTTTGCAGTTATATTTGGTATCTTTTAATAACATCAAATCTAATGTTTCAAATGTATTAACTATTAAATATTAACTATGCTTATGCATATTCAAAAATACTAAAAGCATGCAGTATATCTTATTTCAAAGTGCACAAGTGTTTAAGAATTTCTCTGTACATGTATAAGAATTAAGTAAATTTGTGACAATATTTATCACCCAGTATTTATTTTTTCAAGAAAAGACATGGAATAAAAAAGTACAGTCGTATTGAGATTTAAAAATATACCTTTCAGGATTAATACTGCACATCATTATTAAACACTGTTGGTAATTCTCACAGTCAGCACTTATGTCCCAGCCTGCAAGTTATGTAATTGTATAATGTAAAATGTAATTTAGATTGTTCCATTGAAAACACAACACATACATGGAAATAACAAATGATTATGATGACCCTGTTCAGCTGTTCAAAACTACTGATTGTACCATTTAGTCCTATTTAATCAAATTGATTTAATTTGTTTTATTTTGTAGGAAATGAAAAAGATCTACTAACAATTGTCATTTTAACAATTATACATTATAAAGAAATCATTGAATAATTTATATTTTAAAGATTATACATGTATAGATAAAAACAATTATCAGAAAAAACAAATGCATGAAGTTGAAAAATATAAAAACAACCTTGATCTCTTGTTACAAATGTTGATAGTTTGATATATAACCTGTTTCTGCATTGATGTAACTTAAGGTTTATAAATACCTGATTCTGTTGTATATCTCCTTTTCCCAGGTGATTCTTATTGTTATCATACCAATACTTAAACACTTTAAAGTCTTAAACAAAACAATATCTCCAAAACTGCTAAAATATCAAGTACATCCTCTGTAATTTCAATGCACTCTTTGCTGACCCAGATATCTTAGAATTCAAAATTTACAACAGTTACTCAGGACAGGTCTATCATTATGTAAAGCAGGGTTAATCTGCTCATCATTTTAACTTATATTCTTTGAGCGTGAAAGAAAATATGAAATAGCTAATTGATATATAGATTTTAAGATCATTACAAATTTTTGTACAAAAAAGATTGCAATGTCCTTCTAGACACATTCTTCATATGAAATTTATAATGTTATCTCTCCCCAAAATAATCACATGGAACAGCCTGATCTGAAATGACCAGTGGAGTAAATTAGTCATGCACAGATGGTTAGAAAATGCTGGTCAATGAGTTTTATCAGAGCTCTGATCTGTGTAGCGTAAAATCTCAGTGGATGTAGTATTTATTTTCCTAAATATTGGTCAATTTAATATAGAATATATATGAGATTCTTTCATGCACTGTTTTTTGTTTATTTATTTATTGTTATCCAAAAACATGAATTCTTACAATTTAAAAATGGCAAGCAATGCAATCCCTATCATCTTGATTATTATAGTGTCTGAATGATTTAATCACAGACTTTAATTAATTTATAGTTAAACTTAAAGCCTGTAATTAAATGGATATTATTTCATTGTACATAACTTCATGTAGATTTATTTAAATAATAATATGTATTTTGAACAATCAATTCATTTATGTCTTTAGCATAGACATTTTTTATGAGATACCCTTTTTCAACTACATAAAAAGTATAAAGTGTCAAATTTCTAATCATTTACAGTAACTTGCATTAAAATAAATGATGATTGTATATTTTCTTCGTAAGTTTACAATATTGTGCTGAATATATAAAGTAAGATTTCTGTAAATTTTTTACAAGTTTTTTCCAGCATACTTAGAGAAAGTTTAACACATTTCCAGCATCAAAAAAATCTAAGTTCCACTTTCCATGCTACATGGAAGTAAAGTCCATGGTTTTCCAGGCTTTTACCACAAATGTCCAGCCAATTTCCAGCCTATTCCAGCAATGCTGGAAATGGCTGGACAAAAAAAGTCCACATAGCATGGAAAAAATACCAATTTTCCATGAATTTCCATGAAATTCCATGCTTTTCCATAGTTTTCCAGGGTTTACCAGCCTCTCTTCCAGGCTTACCCTGGAAAATCTACACCCGGGATGAGTTAAAATAAAGTATTATTATTTTCTATTAACTTCTTATTTCACTATAGTTTTTAAATGTTGCTATATTTAGCCTGATACGGAATGCATGTACATAAATTGTTTCAACTATAGTTAAGTTGGCACGAAAAACTTGTGCACTGCAAAAGTACTATGACTACTATATATTACACACTACACAGGATAATCAAAGCACTGAAAGTACTGAAGTATACATTGCTTGATAATATAATCCATTTTTTTCATCAAGGCCATGTTGATTTTAACCTACTGACCTCGAAAACAATAGGGGTCATCTTTGGACCAAGGTCAATGTCCCTAAAAAGTTACTCACACCAAGGCTTTTTCTTCCAAATTTATTTATGAGACAAGGAAGATGTGATGTTCCATCTGTGTATTGCTAGGCAAGCTGATAGATGAGCAATAAAGAAATCATTTTTTGAACCCCCCGTTAAATGGACTGCAGTATAGAATATTGAAACAGTAATAGTGAGTGTTAAATGGACTGCAGTATAGAATATTTAAACAGTAATAGTGAGTCTTCAGTGATGCTATCTAATAAAAGACATGACCTGGCTTAAAGTCTATACAAAGTCAATTTTTGAAACATCCTCCAAGACTTAATTACCAAATTATAGTACATCCTTTTGTATAGCTTGCCATGTTACAGATCTATGTACTGTACTTTGATGCATTAATACATATATTCTGGTGTGTTGTATTCATCTCTACACATTAATTTTCAAATGCATTACTTTATCGTTTACTAATAAAAATAAAATCTATAATCAAAACAATTCAAATGTACTGTAATAGTTTCATTATTCATTAATTGTTACATATAGTCTTCATATACAACCTTTCCAAGAAATTCATTTATATTGGACAGCAAGTTAACAAGTTTTTTTTCCATAATCAGGCTTAACTTTAGATGAACCATTCACAATATTGAGCTAAAACATTTTTTCTATTTTTTGGCTACTGTGACCTACATTTTTTTCCTGATTTTCAACCAAGGTGATCCATGTTCAAACTCGAGCCAAACCTGTCACACATATTCTTACAATGTTGTGTGACAATTGGGGCAAAAGTGTGACCAGTACAGTGTTAACAAACTAAATGACCAGAAGAGTGTTAACAACTAAATGTCA